CAGCTGGATTCAACTAATTCAGAATTGTTTTATATCCCAATTGACTAGAATGGGTAATCCACACAAGGTCCCACTGTTTTCTATGGACTTCAAAAGTAATTTTTTCACAGACTTTGGTTATTATCAGTTTGAAAAGAATCCTGCTTCATCACCCTAAAGATGGCCATTTTAAGCTATCTCAGTGCATGTCTCCTTGATAATTTTTTCTGCACAACAGATATTTTGTGTCGATTCCTCTCTGTCAGGATTGGGAAATATAAAATTCAGAGCGTTGTGCAGGGGAAAAAAAAACATAATCACCTTTATATTGCATACCCTATTTGGCTATTGTGCATTACATTGCATATTTTTCTGTTACTAACATGACTTTTAAGAACTTGATAGATTTACTCAGCTTCCTACTTACAATATATTCCTGTATGCTAAGGATGTCCAAGAGTGTTTTTTTTTAAATAGTTTTTATTAAACATTATTACCTTTAAAAACAGAAAGAAAAACAACAACAACATAAGAAAAGACAAAAGATACATAGCAATAAGCGTAAAACATACAGATACAAATACAATTTTAAACATACATTTAAACATTTATTCAGCTTCCTACTTACAATATATTCCTGTGTGCTAAGGATGTCCAAGAGTGTTTTATTACCCAGTAGTAATTTTTTGTTAGGAACCTGAAAAATACTGTAATTTGGACTTTGAAATCATAAGATTAAAAAAGACATTGATATTTTCTTTCCTCTTAATTAGCATTCTGTTGTCTCGTATTTGAACATAATAATACACTTTTAACTTATTATTTCTTTTTTTTAAAAAAACAACGTAGCATTCTTCGTATCCTGCCAGTAACCAAGAGGCTAATGGGAGCAAGTTGTGGTTTGTTCAAGCTAGATATCATCACCCCTGTTGTTCAGATTGCAATCTTGCTAGTTTGGGATTGGGCTGGCAGGGGATGGGGGGGGTGCAAGGAAGGAAGTTTTTCTCTATTGGAAGCTTGCTAGCTTACTTACAATTTTTCCATGATTGGGCCCACCTTCCCCTCCCCTTTCCCTTCTAAGGGGAGGTGAGTTTGATGAGGTGCCTTTCTATTTCTGAGACAGAAGGCAGGCCTTGACCAGCTGGTATCTTGAACTGACACAGGTGCGGAGACTGCAGGGGGTGGGATCCGAGAATAATTGCATGTTTTCTCAAAGCATCGGGCCTCGCCCAAAAGGGGGCTCGCGGAAATAGTTCTTTATGGAAAATTAATGACAAGGCTTAAAGCCTGTCAGGATCACTGTGGTCATCCGACAAGGAGTAATGCCTTACAGGGACAGCTCCCCTCCTGTCTTCTCCACAGGATATCAGCTGACCCAAGACAGCCTCGTATCATCTGGAGACTTCACAAGGCCTGTGGCTGGTTTTTAGTGTTCTTTGAAAATCTTTTTTTTTCCATCTAACGCTTGCTAACCAAAGATTCATGGTCTTTGCATTTAAAACCTCCTGGTTTCCTCTTCTAAGGATACATCAAGATACAGAGTGATTGTTACTTCTGTTGTGACAAGGAGAAATTCCGTGAAAGTATACTGAAGCTTGGAGAAAACGATAACATGATGCTTATTATTTATTTACTTGGCTGTTTAGGAGGTGGGGAATCCTATGATTTGACTGAATTTTCTATTGTATATAATTTGGTTTAACTAAACATGTGTGAATTTTCTATTGTATATAATTTGGTTTAACTAAACGTGTGTGAAAGACTAATCTATGTAAATGGATAGTTACACGGTTTTAAATCTACTACTTGCCTGCGCTAATCTTAACATTTGCAGCCCTTTAGCGAACAGTTCAGACATCTCTGTATTTTATTGTCTCCTGATTCTATCCATTTGAAAGAATTGCAAGCAGCTTGTATTTCCCAGTGATATAGTTGCATAGATGATCTGTGATATGTGTGAGAAAAACAACAATACTGTTCTTTGATACATTTGGAAGTCTTTGCATTATATTTTCCCCTGCAACACACATGACTAGTTATGTAAAAGGTTTTTTTTTAATCTACTTTGGTATGAAACTTGTGTGTTTGTGTGTGTGTGTGTAATAAGACAGGCCTTATTTTCTTTTGACCCCCGAAATAAGCACCTGGCCTTATTTTCAGGGAGATCTTATTATTTTTGAGGTGCAGGAGACAGCGAGCGTGGTCACCTCATGGCTGCGGCTGTGTTGCAATATTTTCGGGGAGGGCTTATTTTAGCACATGCGCTCAAAAGCCTGATTGGGCTTATTATCTGGGGTGGTCTTATTTTCAGGGAAACAGGGTACATATCAATGATGGAGAACCTTTTTTGGCTCGCATGCCAAAAGCGGGGGGGAGCGCAGGGGGATTGTGCACGGGCGTGCCACACCCATAATGCTATGCGCATGACCCCAGCGTGCATGCGCGCATGACCAGCGCTCCACCCCATTTTTACGTGCTTTTTTTGCCCTCCCCAGGCTCCAGAGGCTTTATAGGAGTCTGGGGAGGGTGAAAACAGCTCTCCGGAGGCTTCAGGAGGTTCCCTGAAGCCCTGGAGTGTGAAAAACTGGCCCTATGGGCAAACCGGAAGTTCAGGAACCGACTTCTGGTTTGCTCGTAAGGCCGGTTTTAGCCCTCCGGAGCCTTCAGGGAACCGACTTCCGGTTTGTTCGTATGATCATATTTTTGCCCTCCGGAGCCTTCAGGGAAGCCACCTGAAGGCTCTGGAGGGCTATAACTGGCCCTACGAGCAAACCCAAAGTATGTTCCTGTTTGCCCTCAGGGACGGTTTTTCGTGCTCCGGAGGCTTCAAGGAAGCCTCTGGAGGGTGAAAAATGGCCTCAAAAGAAGACCAAAGTCAGCTGGCCAGTGTGCGCATGGGCCCTGACCAACTGACAGGGCAACGCCTCGCGTGCCCTGACAAATGGCTCCGCGTGCCACAGGTGGCACGCGTGTCATAGGTTCTTTATCATGGGTGTATATATTTATTTAATTACCCTGTGTGCCATAACGTGAATTACATGTGTTTTGTATGTGTAGACTCAATCATAAATTAATTTCTTGGAGGTCTAGGAGCGTACAGATTTTATCAGTGCCATGATCATGTTTCAGTTTTGAGTTTTAGTCTGAATTAACCTGTAAAGAAAGTGTAGAGGTTTTATTATATATTTATTTCTCAGTTTATATTTATTGATTCATTTGAAACATTTATAACATTGCTGACTAGTATGAATGCCCAAAGCAGTTAACAAAATAAGAGTTGAGAATTTTTTTTCAGAACTGGTCAAGGAGTGCTTGTGTAATGTTTGTGAATCACTTGATTGGCAAGTGATTGTTCTTACGGTTGCTAGGCAACTGGCAACCTGTGCTTTCAACCGCCTTCCTCTTTTTGCAAATATTTTTGCCCAATAGATTTGTACCTGGATTTTTAGATTCTACACATCAGAGCTGAATAGTCATTGGATTCTTATTCTATGGAAGAAGTCATTTCTGTAGTGTTTGCTGCAGAAACTTTTGTCTTAGCCGAGGTGGCGCAGTGGTTAAATGCAGCACTGCAGGCTACTTCAGCTGACAGTTCGGCGATTCATATCTCACCGGCTCAGGGTTGACTCAGCCTTCCATCCGTCCGAGGTTTGTGAAATGAGGACCCGGATTGTTGTTGGGGGCGATATGCTGACTCTAAACCGCTTAGAGA